TCTCTCTCTGCATTCGGTCTCTCCTTAGCCCTTCCCGCAAGGCGGCCACGAGCACCTCCAGCTGAAGATGCCTTCAACATCACTGTGCCACTCTCAGAAAGTTTCCTTACTTAAACAGTCATCCACATACTGACATGTCAATGTCAAGTCACTGCAGTGAAGGACAGTGCTTTTTGGCTGTGCTATGCTGCTGCCATCTGTTGTGAGAAGAAATAGGGCATTCCAGCTGACCCGAAGTGAGTAAGTAGCACCGGGAGTTGCACATGTATTTCCTGCAGGTGTGGTGTTGAAGGCATTTCTGGCTGTGGGTGCTGGCAGGCCTGTCTCTGACTCAGCTTGTTGGAAAAATAGCATTATTGGCCGAGAACCAGGGTCTGGAAAACAACATCACATTCCCACATCTCTGCTTGGGAACGGATTGATTGGTGTGGTGTTGAAGGCATTCCTAATGGCCTCCTGTAAATTGCACAGATTGCTTTTTCATTTAGGGAATGTATTTGTCGATCATATAAGGCCCACACTGGTTTCACGGAGGCCATGTATGAGCTCACATCCTGCGCTTCTGCATTTCATCAAGTAGTCGTGCAAGGGAACTCTTTGAAAGGGCTCTGCCTGCTTTCCGAACAGTCCCAGTTGGGGATGTCATCTTTCGAGTAGTGAATTTCTGGGATTTCAATCGGGCTGCCAATTCGGCCCATGTGACAACTTTGCTGCCTTTCTTGGATACTCGCTTGGGGTATGGCTTCTTCAAAATTTGCTTCACAGCCTTCACCAGAGACTTGCCATACACCTGAAGTAGGCTTTTCCTGCCCTCACACTTCCCCTTGTGGGAGAGGGTCATGTACTTCCCACTCGCCTTATTCTTCTTCCGATGCTTTGCACGGCCTTTTGACATGGCATCGATGAATTCAGATTTGTCAAACTCATTTACGGCAGCGACTATCTGGCGTACAAGTTTCCCCTTGTTGCTGCGGCATGTCAGCAGGGTGGGGAAATCGAGAGCAACAACTTCTATACCATGCTTGTCCGTGAACTGAAGTCCGAGTTCCTGTGCTACGACTGATCGAGCAAAGCGCTTGGCATTCTTAACATAAACCTTACTCACACGGTTCTGTGCAAATTCTTGCCAAACTTTGCGCTCGGAAACAGGGACATTTCCAGACAGAGCCACATCAGACTTAATTTGATGTTTGCTCAAGCCTGTTGCTTTAGCCACAAGCTGCCTTTGAGCCTGGATGTCCCCTGCTTTTGATGACACACGAGTGTAAGCACACACCTTGCTCTTCTGATTCTTCTTGACCATGGATGTGTCTAGCCCCCCCCCGGAGCAAGCAATCGGAGATGAATGGTGCTAACTGGTACTTGCTGAAGCCACCAGGTCTCGGGCAACATGGTAGAAGGAACTTGCTAGGAACAAACATCACTACCGAATTGCGCTGTACCTAGACCCAACAGCCAATGCCAGGCTCCATCATCGACTACTATGACAGATGTGGGCCCAGACCTCAATCCAAGCCACAAGCAAATTGTACCTTAAAGCTTCCATGGTGTGCTTGCTGCTTCCTCACAAAGAGCCTTACATAGGGTTGGAGGCCCCTGATCAGGTCACTCCCAGAAACAACAAACAGCCTTGACACTGACAACTGGCACTCAAACAAAAGTGATGCCTGGCTAGCATGCTTAAAGTGCAGGGCTTTTCATGAACTCAGGTTTAGGTCTAAACCCTAAATAAACCCCCAAATTTCTTTTGTCTTGCCTCATGTCAAAAAACAAGTTCCCTTTAACCCCCNNGATAAAGGGAACTCTCATAGTTCCCAAGCCCAGAAAAAGGGAACAGCATGCCACAGTGCGCCATACTGCACCAGTACTACCCCCTCCCTGTGACCACAACTGCACTAGCAAGACAGAGCACTTGTTCAGTGCTTCCTTCCCCCCTGTGACCACAACTGTCCCAGCACTACAAGCAAAGCACTTCTTCAGTGCTCCCTCCCTCCTGGTTGGTCATGACTCCCCATGGTCAGAAAGGCATCCGATGAACCTACACAGATTGAAGAAATGAGAAGAAGCACTAATGGGTTAGTTACACTAGGTGAAGCAATCAGTAGCACTGAAGAAGTGCTGAAACAAATAGCACTGAAGAAGTGCTGAAA